GAAGCTGTAACAAACAGCACTGGATCACCAACTAATCTTTACGAAGTTGAAAAACAACTGAAAGATGTAAGTTTCCTGTACAACATTGCAAGTGCAAATCATCTATATCAAGATGCATAAGAATGTAAATTATCACCATATATGTTTTTGGGTAGTATGGAACCTCAGAGGGTGTGTTTCCCTCTGAAATGTAATATCTAAAATTATTTTGTGACAAGACAATAATTTAAATAAATTTTAAAAAAAGACTTGCAAAAAAGACAATATTTCCATCATCTTTGAAAAACCTTGCTTGGAACATCAGAGCAAAGTGGCTGCTGATGAGGGAGGAGAAAAAACCTGGTCTGACCTCAGAGCTGACACTGCCTGGGATAGCATGAGGTTGGATTAGAAACCTCCTGAGGTGCCTTCCAACCTGAATCATTCTATGATCCAATCGGATATAAAACCTATGTTCTTTGTTCTTACCAACTTTAAGTTGCAATGATACAGTTTTAGTTTATTCCATTTTCAAGATTTGTTATTTTATATTTATTTTTATATTTGAGATTGAAAGGTTAATTCTTCATAATCTTGGAATGACTAATGAAAGCCTTTGTTCTTAAGTCATTTTCCCATTCCAAGAAGTAAGCCAATCAGTATTTAATATTGCTGCAATTTTAATTTATGCTCAACAACCTTACTTATCTTTCCAAATGAGGATGGGTTTTATTTATTGTACAGAGAAGATTACTACAGTTTGCAGCAGAATTAACTAGCTTATCTTTAAACTGTATCACTTTTAACATTTTTAAGAAAAAAGACTAATACTTTTAAAATCCAATAAATTACCAGAGACTTTTTTGTTGTTCCTCTGTTCCTTTTCATGAAGGCTCTTGAGAAAAACCAACAGTGGCTACTGTATGACCAGCAACGTGAAGCATATGTCAGGGGACTCCTTGGAAGGATCTTTGAACTTGAACAGAAGTCAGAAATAGTTAGCCAACAAGCATCTGAAGAATTACATTTAGAAGGTATTGACTTTATTTTTTTTTCTCACAAGTGACCTAAATGATAATTATCTATAGAATAAGTTTTCTGAAAACAAATTATAGCACAATTAAACAAAATCAAGACTTTCTTCTCAACATTTTTCTTTCTTAATGGTAAAACTTGGTTAAATAAAATTTCTTTGCTTCCTGTTACCTAGCTATGTTGCTTGACCAACAGTATTTCATGTTCTTATCTACTTCAAAGCTGGTTTTTAACAGCCTTGACACTCTATTAGCAGCCTCTCTGTTTCTGGAAAGTGTTGAGGCAAATATATGTATGTCTCCCATCCTTCAAAGTACACTTTCAACCTACATAATGGAAGCATTAAGGATTTATTAGCTAGGTGTGGATCAGGGTTTTTTTTAATTTACTTTTTTCAAAATAAACATTATAAAAATGACTCAAGAATGCCATGTTCTTTACTCACGGGAGCGGTTGTTACAGGGCATGAAAACCTGTGATAGGTTTTGGCACCTATCCAAGTGTTTCGCAATATGGATCTGGCCACTTCTGGCTTGCTTCTGTGCTATGCAGTTCCTCAATAACAAGCACCCTCTCGTTACCTTGCATTCAGATTGACGTGAGTTGTGCTTGACCAGCATGTGGAATAAAATTAAAATCATGCTGAACAGAAGACAAAGGAAGAGTTGGCTTGCTTTTTCTTATTATCAAATTATTAATTTCATATATGCTGCAACTGACCTGCAAGGTGAATGTACTAAATAGAACCAGCATCACCTGGAGTAAGAGTATGCCCACAGATCCTTGCCACTTAGTAATTCATGTGCAGTGGCTTGGCTTCTGTATTACTGAATCTTTATGGACAACAGTAAAACATCATCATAATCTTGGTGCTGTTTAGAACTCTATGAACAGTATTTTAGAGGGAGGCAGACTCTGAAGTAGCTCACCAGGAAATGTAACTCAAGAGTTACTGCAGTCAAAGCTTTGTCACCAGAACAGCCAGGAGACTAGGAGTAAGGGTATAAGAAAGTTCCTCTCTTCCAGCAGCTATACAGTAGCAGAAATCCAAGTTTCTGAGAACCTAGCTATACAAGTTGAGAGTAGATATGACACCAAGTTTTTCCTTGGAAAAAGTTGTATCTCTGGGAATCTCACCACCCTATAAAGGAGTATTGCTAATGAGAAGGTAAGGCTTAGTTCATAGTCGAGAGCAGGGGAACAGTCAAGCAAGAAACTCCCTAGTAAATTACACTTTAAGAATGAGGGGAAGCCTTCAATAGGAAAAGTATCGAAGTCAAGAAATTTAGTGCCAAAAATCAGCAAAGCCTGCGAAATTCTACATTCTTTGTTCTGCTTCTAGGTATATTTTGTATTACTACTGAACTTCTACAGACTGCCTCTTTTTTTTCCCTACTTGCTAAACTTTTTTTTGGTCAACAAGCAGAAATTTTTCAAACTCTGGTTTAAGTAACAGTCACTAGCCAAGAAACAGCCATTTTTTTATTCAAACAAACTATCCTAGTCCCTTCCATTTGCAATTTAGAAGTAAATAATGGCATAAAATTTGAAGAAGATAGTCTGCAAAAGACAGTGGGTAATCTGGCTTTGGTCAACAGTGGTGACATAGAGCCCATCAGATCCCCAGGGTAACTCTGGGGAGGGAGTGATGCCAGAACCTTGGCTAAGGAGCCTAAATCTGGAAGTGAGAATCTAGTGTCTTTAGGCCTTGATTTCCATGCATTAGTATAATGTGTGTAGGTCATGGAGCTTGTGTAGTCAAGGCAAAGGATATAATATTGCTATAGGGCTTAGTGAAGGAAGTGGCTGTAGCACAGAGTACCATACACAAGCCAAGTTACCATTTTCCAGTAACTATGTTGGGAAAGAGACTTTACTGCATTAGAAGTACCGAAAGCTGTTTTAACTGAAGTTTGGTGCCAATCTGAGCTGTGTAATAGTGTGGAATGTTGATTTCTACCAATATGCCTTAAAATGCTGTCAAGGATTTGGTGTTCTGATTTTTAAGTGATATCCCCCCTCCTCCCCTTACTATCTCAATTATTTCTGACTCATTAAGGTAATCTACAAGAGGAAAAGCAAAAATATTATGACCAGCTGCTACTAACTGCTAAGAGTGATCTTGAGACTGAAAGACGCACTATAACCCAGCTGAGATCTGAACTTAACGAATTAAAGAAGAAGTATGAAGAAACACAACAAGAAATAATGAGTTTAAATGCCTTATTGCAGTCGCAACAGGTTGCTGAAATGAAGACTCTAGAAAATGAAAATAAAATGAAAGAAGAGAAAGTGCAGAGACTAAAACAAGAAAATGAGACTATTAAAGGACAGCTCAGAGAAGAAAAGAAAAGGTCTGAAGATCTTTTATGTCAGGTAAGTGGATACATTTGGAGATTTAAGATCATTAGCAAAGAATTAAGACAGCTGAAAAGTAATTCTTAATCAGAATGTACCATTGCTCAGTTGCTCTGGTAACTGTTAATTACATATATCTAGACTCATGTCCTTGTGGTTAAAACTGAATTCTTTCTTTAATATATCGGTTTGAATCAAAATCCAAACTTTTGTGGAATTTCCTTGTTTAAACAAGGAACTTATTTTTTCATTTATTTCCATGGTCTTGTGGGACACAAGAGGGAGAAGTGAGAGAATACTTAATTGATTCTGATCTAGTTCTTCCTCAAGGTTAATAGTAAATGAGAACAGGAAAGGTAAAAATTCAAGTCCATACAGGCTATCTTATCATGCAGTCTGAACTATGGAATATCACTGATATTTGCTGCCACCTGGCTGCTACAATACACATTTGGGCTTGTAGTTTCGTAATTGCTGAATAAGCAGCCGTGTCCCTGGATAGTGCCCCTAGCCAACCATTGTGGCCATGCAGCTTGGGTTTGTTTGTTTGTTTGTTTTTTCCATTCAGATTAATTCCTGCATTTGGTTCTCTATATGATGCCATGGATAAGGACTATGCAGGCACACCTGAGTACTAGAAAGCAACGGCCAGATAACTTGATACATGCTGATAATGGTGGATATTTTTATGTATGCATTTACTTCATCCATTATAGTATAGTACTTTCTGAGTCTTAAACTTATTGTATTTAAAAAAAAGTTGCACTGCTTGTTTTTTTAACATGGCACGTTAGTGCAAACATAGGTTTTGTGTGTATATTTTTGTCTACATCCTGGCAAGCACCTAGGAAAGTTCAGGTTTTTTTTTTTTCTATCTTGAACTACAACATCTTCCTGTATTGCCCCTGCTCAATGCAATAATATTTTTTCCCTGGGGTTATCCCCACAGAAGTAGAGATATTTGAATCGAATTTGGCTGTTGCATAACAGATGTAGATTTTCTGTTGGCATTGGAATATAAAAGTTTATTTCAATCCATTTTTAGATTCATTATTTGCTAAGCTTATGAACTGCTGGAAGTTGTTTGTTACAAATGTTTTTCTGCCTTGTAGGTGCAAATTCTTCGGAAATCATTGCTCAAACAGCAGGAGGAACACACTAGGATAGCTTTGTTGGAACAACAGGTACCCAATTACATGCTAAGATGCTGATACTTAATCTGTATTGTGCACAAAGGCTTTCTAGACTAACTTCAAATTTAAGAATGAGTATTATATTAAATAAAGTAATATTAGACATGAATATTGAACTGTGAATAATCTCTTGATGCTTCTAAAAACTTTGACATGTCTGTCAAGAGGAAAATCTGTAACCTGATAAAAGGGTGTGATCAAACCTGATACTATTTTCTCCACAACCACTTGTTCAACTGTACAGCCTCAGATTAGGTATGGGAAACATCCTAAAACTAATTAGCTCATGGAATTTTTGTAATGTGCACTTGATAAAGTTACACAAATAATTGCATTGCCATCTTTTCCATCTCCTTTATTTTTATTAAGTACGTTCTTACAGATCTAATTGATGTTATTGGAAAGAAAAAAGTTACATTTATTTGCTAAGCTTGGGTGTACTGTGTACTGTGTTACCCACAGTTTCTGTCCAAATTATCTTGCTACAAGAAAGATCTTGGAGTAGCAACTGGCATTTTTGATGAGAACTTGCACTATATGCTTTTCTATAAAATGTTCATCTTAAGACTACGAGACAGCCTGAAATACTGTCCAACCACAATAACTTAAGACTCCACCACTACTAAGGGAGAAGATTTTCATAATTGGGCATATATGAATTTCACTGTAGTGAAAGCAACAAGAGAAATTTTTTTTAAATCCAATTTTAGAATATGATTGCAGAGTAAAACTTACTTGAAATATATGAGGGGGAAACATTTATCTTCCCCCTCCCCAGGTTCTTAATAATTCTGACTTTAATTTTTTTAATTTTCACTTTGGGGGGTTGCCAGATCCAGATATGCACCACAGACTTTGAGAATGAAAAGCTTGATCGCCAGAACCTGCAGCATCAGTTACACAAAGTCCTTAAGGAACTGCGCAAGGCCAGGGAGCAAATAACCCGTCTAGAACCTCTGGTATGTACTGAACAACTTGCAGCTGAATTTAGTCAGGGATTTGGCATGAATGTACATCTTTTCACTTTGGGATCTTATTTCAAGCATAGTGAGTCTTCTGTTAATGTCATCAGATATTCACTGTAGGTCCTTACATCCTTTAGGTATGTGGCCCCAAGGTGCAGAACCCTATGTCAACTAGCTAGCCATCGTTTTTCCTCTACAGCACACACGGAGAGCTAGTACTGCAAAAGGAGATCCAGAACAGTCAGACTCCTGAGCAGACAACATAACTGTATTTTGTATCACAGTATGTTATCTAGTTTTGCCTGTTGCACAATGACAAAGCTGCAGTATGCTTCTACTCAGACTGGCTGACAGTGAACAGGACACAGTCCTTGAATACGGAAGCTGCATTCCTCTCCCACCTCCATCTGATACAGGATGGGTAGGTCATTAAAACCTGGGTTTTTCATTTCCAAAAAGACAAGCTCCATACTACAATGAAAAAGGACGTTTGTTGTATTGCGAGGAGACTGTGGTCTGTTTGCTCCTTATTATGTAAGCCCAAAGAAAGCCACCTAGATTTGAGCCCTAGACTTAATGAGAAATTTGTAGGGAAAGATTAAGCAAGCCGTTGATCTGTTTTGCTTTGTTGTATCCAGGATTGCTCTGGTCTTGAGCAGAAATTCATTTTGACTGTTGGTGCTTCTGGAACTCTGCTATAACGTATCTTGTAAGATTAGGTGATAGTTGAACAGGACTGTCAAAACTGCAGTTCTGGGCTTAAATGAGGTTCAAAATGGAAATCGGATACCTGTGTCCTTCATTAGATCAGGTCTGGGGCTGCTATGATTTTTACAGAGAAGATAAATGCAAAAGCTCCTAACAAGTTTTAGATGAGAGAGATTCTTCTGTGACTCTGCCAGACTGTTGTCCCTCTTAGTTGTATGTGACTTGGAAGTACTTTCTCAAATGAGGAAGGGAATGGAATGAATCCTGAGATACTCATGTTCTTCACTCATGCGTTACCCCTGGGAGAGCCTCACTTGCTAGGATTGCAGTTGCTGCTGTTGTGAGGGGAGGCCACTGGAAAATCTTCTGTCTGCTGAGAGTAGAGCAGAAGTTTGGGCAGAGCAGGGAAGTTACAGCTTTGAATTTCTCTGTGCTAAGAAGCTGGAGGGGTAGCTGTCAAATGTACAACCGGGTGCCTTTTACAGTTAGGGATAGCCTTCACGCACAGAAACTTCATGTGCGGGATCAGCAGAAGAGAAAATTACAGCAGAGTTTTTGGAAAGGTAACTAGGTAGCATCCTATGTAGAGGGGACTGGGGCACCATTTTATTAAGGAAAGAGAGTGTGAGTTGCTAGGAAGATGATTGGGGAAGGATTCCCAGTCAGACATTGTGGGAAACCTCTCTTAAATAGTCTACAGAAAAGCTACCTGCAATCCAATTTAAATCTGGTTTTAGAATTGTACAACAGGCCCTCTGTTATTAATGCAAGTAGCATAACTGCATTTAGCCATCTTTAAAATTCTACCCTTAGTGCTATAACACATGGAAGGCTTGTGTGCCATCAAACATTACTATTTTTTCCTACAGTATTTGATCAGCGCATGCATGCCCCAATCTTAGACTAAAGCTTTTCCTTTTTCCAGAAACTCCAGGAATCTGGACGTATGGAACCACAAGAAGATTTGCAAGCTGCATTTGAAGAGAAGCTGACCATGTATGACAGAAGGTCTTCCCTGAAACATTCAAGCCTTCTTGATGAAAGTTTTCTTGAGTGTCCCAGATGTAAAGTGCAGTATCCAACAAGCCAGCATAGAGAATTACTGGCACATATTGACTTTTGTACAGCTTGAGCTCCAAATGGACTTTATACATGCTGCCAATGTGCTCTTCTACAAAGGCAAAAGATCTTTTTAAAGCTTTTTTCTTAAGATTGTATAAAGGACTACTAGTTCTATAATTCAGTTCCACAAAAACATTATAGTAATTTATTTAGCCTTAAATATTTTACCTGACGTTTTTGCAAAAAACAGCTACTGCATTTTTGGTTGCAAATGGAAATATTTTTAGAATTAGGAATATCTTCAAATAGTAAACTACTGACTTATTTTTTGCACTATTAAAAATGAGAACAGTAAAAGCACATCTATTGTGTCAGACTTTATTTTAATGTTTGGCATATACAGTTCTTGGTTGGTGAATCCTGATGATTGTGCCTGTGCCTTAACGGTAATAGCTGCAGAAGATTTTTGGCCCTCGTAGGTGCACCACAAATATATTTATATATACATGGGGGGGTGTGTGTATATGTACAGTGTGTGTATATATTTGTAATTTATATACATATGTATCATATACATGTGTAACGTATCACCATCTTGACACATTAAAACTCAGGAGGGTCGTGTTAGATCTTTGCTGCTTAAGATTCATGTTGAAAACATCAATCATAAGTAGCTTATTTTACTGAACGAGTCAGGGGTGACTAAGAGCTCATATAAAAGTACTGACCAAGGTTTAAGCTCTTCTGAAAAAAAAAAAAAAAGTCATTGGGAAAGCATACTTCCTAGCAAATACAAACTCCCTTGATACTGAAACAAGTTTATATTTTGGACAATGTCAGAGACCATTTTTGAAGTTTGGATGTAGAACTATGGTGAAGTAAACTTGTTTGCACTTCTGTATTTTAGAGGTTAAAGTTGGGAAATGTCAGTTATTCAATCTGTTACATTTGAGAAATGCCCTAGTTTAAAGTGCAGTTTTTAATAAATTGCTCTAGTGGAGTTGAAGTGTCACGGTATTTTCATATTAATACAGAAAATAAGTTAGCAATAATTCTTGCAACAAATTAGACACTGGCAAAAAAATTCCCTTATGGATTTGCAATCATAGCATTATTTTCCTGTAGCACCTACTGTAAACCTGGATCTGTTGCTAGCATTTCGCTCCTTGCACTTGTAGTTAAGTCCAACAAGCAGTTCCTTCCACAAAAATTAAAGTGAGGAAATTTTACAAACATACATTAGTTAAGATAAATTTGCCTCTTTTACAGGTTTATGGTTTGCTGAGGACAATGAAATACCCAAGGCCTATCTTTCCCTGGAATACTGATTCTGATTGCTAGCTAGCATAAGCTTTTTCCGTCACACTTTGCTGCAAAACTGCATGCGTTTACCCCATAATGTTCACTCTAATCTCTGATGCTTAAACATTATTCTTAAATACGAGGGTGTTTTCCAAGTTGTTTTCAATAACTATTATAATATCAAGTGATGTTATCGATTAAATCCAGTGTTCAAGAGACAGAAAGAAAATGTTAAAAGCTATTATCTTTATATCTGAAATATCTTTGCCAAATCTATTCTATTAGCCACTATGTATCCACTTTTCAATTTCACTGACTACGTGTCAGGCTAATTTTTGTGTTTGACAATTTGCTCAATTGTAGCAACACATTTTCTGACCAAAGATATGAATTAACAAGTAAAACAGAAATTGTACTTCAGAATCTCAAGATTTTGCCATGAGGGAAATTGTCTTAATTTCATGTCTGTCTTTCTAAACATCCTTTAACTTCAGGATAATAGTACTGTTCATTGCAGACTAATAATTTTAATCTCTAATTAAACTACTTTTGGTAGTTTTAGTTGTCTTTTAACAACACATTAATCCGCTAGTATTCTATTCCCAGCTGCAGACTCAGCATAGTTTCTGCAAAAGGAAATTCGGATCTTTCATGTATTATAGATCAAATAAGTTTGCCTGCTACGGGTCAGCACTCTTTGGTAGTTTTGAGGCTTCCTTAGATTAGCATAAAACACTTTCTCATAAAGTTGATAGTGTGATAACCTTTAAAAAGTGTTTTGTTCATTCCAGCACCTCTTCTGAACTTTAACAATGCATTCAGTCCTACCTGCTAAATATTAGACCTAAGCACAAAAAAAACCCCTTACTGATAAATTTATACACATCAGTGTGGTATATGTTGAAAAATACCAAAAATGACGTTCTAGTGCATCAAAAGACCTATTTTGAAGGCAGAACCACAAACATTATTGTCATTATTTACATGTGACTAAAACCAACTATAAAACCCCAACTCCACAAAGCATGCAGATCATATCACTGCTTTCTTTTCACTCTTCAGAAGCTAAGGAGTCTAAGACTGAAAATTAATTTTTATCCTAAAAGTAAATGAACAAGAAAAAGGTCTGCTGCTCCTCTCTAGTTATATGTAGGAAAGAGAGGTTTGTGCCTAATGAACTCATCTTAATGAAGTTTAGTTCTTTGTAAGGTAGGAAGTAAATAAAAAATTTCTGTTACTTCAAGCACTTTGTGTTTACAATTTGAGTAGTCTTTTTCTGAGTTATGTCCATTTCAAGTAATTGAATTTCAACCTAGCAGAAATTCTGTGAAGTCTGTGTCATTTAAAGATATTGGTCTAGGGAAGTTTCTGAATTAATACAAGGGTTCACTAAATCTAGCATATTTATAAATCCTGGCTTTCACATACAGTGTTCTTTGCAAACAGCAAGTGAATTAAGTGGTTTTGATACAATGTGGTGTGGTTTGAAAGACAGCTAAACTCTGTGTAAAAACTGACTTTTTTTAGATTATGAGAACTGCTTGTGAAATAATAATTGAAAGATGGCTTTTATTTCTCTTATATCAAATGGATCAACTTCTAATCATTTATTTGCTTCTGCGGCTTTCTCTCTTACCCTTAGTTTTGATAACCATTTTTCACACAGTTATTTGCCATTTACCAATAACTGTACTGCAGACGTTTAGGCAAACTATACAATAAACCACTTACGTTTAACTACGCAGATAAAAAGTGGCAGGGAGGCATAGTGCTGGTTATGCTGTAAAAGAATCACACTGAATAGCACAAATATTTACAGACAGCAGGAGGTCACTGTTCACCTGGCAAAGAACACTTATGCAAATGGTGCAGTGTGCTCAAGAAAACTAGGGGGAATATTGCTCTTGTGGTATTTCCATAACAAAGCAGAGATAGGTGGGAGTTTACAAGTGATGAAAATGCAGCAGTAGAGGAGCTCTAGGCATTTCCATTTTAATCTGGCAACCAACCTGCTTATTGGTTTCCATATCTTGTAATCTCATTGAACTGTTAAGACTGCAGTAACAGTTGTGACTATGGTTTTACCTTAAAAATGATAAACAGTTATCTCTAGCATACAAGAAAGATACACTGTACGTACAGCAATACAAGCTACATTACGTTCAGTAGAACTATGCAACCCAGAATACTACTTGCAGCATTTCTAAATCTTTTCCTTTCTCTAATTTGGAAAATGTGACAGAATTAGGTAGCCAAGTGGTACTCCCTGCAGTAAGGGAAAAAAAAGTCTCCACATGTTAAAAATATGGCCATATTGTCAGTATGGGGGTCTGTTTGGGTTATTTTTGAGGCAGCCATCCGGAGCAAGGCAGTTGCGTATCCCCCAGGGAAGGGCAGTGCAGGACCCCTCTGAAGTCACCTGCAGTGTCAACAATGGTGTTGGAGTATTCTGCAGTGGAGGTGGAATTTTGAAAGGTGGGGAAGGAGATAAAAGTTTGGTGCCTAACAAGGAAGAAGAGAAGCCAAAGAATTTTAGACCAAATCAGCCTAACTTCAATTCCTGCAAAAAACCCACTGGCATAGAACCAGCAGTGGGAATCGTGTCACATGTACCCAGTTTCTTAACTGAGCAAGTGCTGCAGGTAGTGACAAAGCAAAAGATGTGCTAACATGGAGCTTTTGTTTCAAATGCCAGTTTCATAACAATGTAG